CGGCACAACTCGTCTGAAATAAGACGCTACTTAGCCAAGAGTAAAACAGGTGTTAAAGGCTATTCTTAGATAAGACGGGTCTTATCTTATTTCAGACAAAATGTGTGGTTTATACGGTAAACTTCGCGTCTTATTTAGGACAAATCTTATGTAAGACGAGTCTTATTTCTCCCCGTATAAATAGTCTTAACCGTAAAGTTGTTTCCTTTTCCCACTTACTAGAAATTTCTTGAGCAAAGAATATTTCAAATCCTGTCTTGTTCTCGAGCAGCCAGTCCGTGTGGAGCGTTAATACAACGTATTTTCCTGATACAAGAAGGTCTGTTCCAGTGAGCTGGTCACCGCAGTATCGAACTTCGGTGATGCCATTCGTTATTTTCAAATAATCGATCCTACAAGAAAATCTCTATCAATACAAGTTGCTGTAGAGCAACAAATATCTCTCCCCCTCATTCTCCTCGCTAGATGCCAAAATAACGGTTTATCAGACTGATTCTCGAGATTGATTAAAAAATCCACCGATCAGAGCTAAAGGGACGGTAGCTGACCTAAACGTATACTTGATGAAAGTGAGATTCGATTGGACTAAACTTACAAGAAGCTATTTGAGAATGTTTTTGTACGCCTTCAAGTTTTTGACCCGCAATCTCAAAATTAAAGTTCAGAAAAGACGCTCGAAACGTACTTAGTCCTAAACAACAAAACAGCAAAGAGAAGAGAGACTTGAGTTTTCCAGACATTTTGGAAGGACAAGCCATCCTTCTTCAGGGGATTTAATGAAGAATCGGAAAGTCGACTTTCTGATTCTTCATTAAATCTCCTGAAGAAGGAGGGCTTGTCGGTCCGAAATATCGGGGAAACTCAAGTCGCTTTTCTCTTTGCTGTTTTGTTATTTATTTCTATATTTTTGTCTTGGTTAAAACAGCAGGATTTGGCTGTCGTCATTTATATAAAAAGTATTTATTCCTACTTGCATTCCGAATCTGACGCCAGGTCAAAACTTTGAAACTTCAGTCTCATCGCTTTACCAGCCGGAATCGAAGTATTGTAGACGCAGCTCATGCTGGCTGCATAGAAGCCATTTGAGTATGCAGGACTTTTCAATGTATTGTTCACTACTGACCCACATGAAACTGAAATGCAAGCGATGCATTTCAAGACCCTTTGTTCTTCTAACTAAATTCTAGATACACATATATACACAAGCAACCCATCTCCTACAGGAAATTGGCAGTCTTGCAAACCCACTGCTGGGAATGATCAAAGACTAAGGTTTATTTCTATATTGTACTGAAATTCCCTTCAAAGCCAAAAAAAGGAGGGTATAAAGTTTGGTTTGCTTGTGCTCCAACGTACAGGGAAATTTAGACCCCTTCTACTATACAAGATGGTTGGCTGAACGTCCCTTGGGCTTAAACTGTGCTATTAAAGTTGGTTAAGAAGAATAAAGCGCTACCTTGAATCTGAGATACTTTATTGGTATAGACATCGCAGCCAGAAGCTGCAAATTACGTGTAAACAAGATAAAAACTACTAAATTATAGAAAACGCATAAATTACAATCGATTTTAAAAAAGTTATAACTCGGAAGAATATCTACATATACATAATATATATAAAATAAGAACAAAGGTTTTTTTTTTTTTTAAAGAACTGGTCGGTGGCTATTCTAGATGAGTTTACCCGGAGGCATTGGGAATTAAAGATCATTCTTGGGCCTGCAAGTTTTAAACTTGACATCAAAAGTTCTGGCATGCCTGAGGGTGTGACTATGCGAGTCAGGCAGTAAGTGAAGAAGACGGTGATCTAAGATATTTATCGAAAAGGGATTGACACAGGCGCTGAGAATGAACCACTAGTAATAATTCTAGGTCTAACGAAGGTAGAGCGTTGTCGCAGGATAAGGCTAGGTGGGGTATATGATGGAGAGAGCCACTACCTTCTCTCCACCCTCAGCTGGGAGAGGCTATCTCTTCGACGAAAGAAACAAAAAGCCGTAATGATGTATAAAACCATGAATGACCTTGCTCCAGAATATCTGCAAAGTCTTTTCTCTCAGCGTCACTCTGCTTACAACTTAAGAAACTCTGAGGGAAGGCTGACCTTGTCCAAACCAAGCACCAATTATTTGAAACGAAGCTTCTCTTACAGCGGGGCCATGTTATGGAATAACTTGCCCAAAAACTTAAAAAACGCTGCATCCGTTGAGCATTTTAAGCGAAATATCAAGAAGGTAGCTGATATATCGGATTCCCACACGGCAATCATGTAAAGCAGTTGTAATTAGTTTTAGTTTTTAACTTAAGCTTAACTGATGATTTCCCGTGTTTAAATAAAGATTTACATACATACATACATACATCGTCTATTAGGTACTGAGGGTAACGAAGCATGAAACACAGGAATTGCGTAATTGAAAACAGACCTTATACAGCTTGTGTAAAACCTAAGCAGATCGGCCTTGTCGACATAATGGCGCTTTTATTGCCTATAAGAAAATACAGGCGTTTAGAAGCTTTCTTTACCATCTCACCGATCAGACACGTTCATATTCCAAGAAAGGTTGCTGGTACCTGTTTGAGTCCGTTGCTGATTGCCTCAAATTCCTCGGCTAATTTTTCATAACATTCTAGAGTTGACCAAATTTGGAATGCGTTTGCGAATATCCAATAAAATGACATCAATAATTCGGGTAATCGCTAAAAAGAGTGGCGGAGACCGAGAAGCCTTGAGAACGTCAGGCTTCGTTAGCTCAGCTGTTTGCGTCCAGCTGGTAAAGAATATCACTGCTAGACTTTACGACTTTTGTACCCAAAATTTACAAAAGAACAGAAAAATTGTAATGAACTCAAGACACCACAAGAAGTAAGCACGTTTTAAACTAAGAGTTACTTTAAGTGAATAATATATACTCTACACACACCCTCCTCGATCTGCATAATTCAACAGATCATGCTAAGCCTCATCCAACAATTCCTAAATATGTCATCGATATTCCTTTCAAAGATTTATTCCTCATCCTCTTGGCATTTATTCGCAATTATGTTCTTTTTTGCCGCTATATTTACTTTCGTTTGCCGCGGTTCGATTCTATGACCAATATTCCTTCTTAAAAACACCTCGCTGCACTAAAATTAAAATTCGTTAATTGGGTCTCACAAGAATGAGGACAAAACCTAAAACAATGAAAAAACTGTTGAAGAACAATTAAGTAAGGGTTGTTTAACTGGAACAATAGGGTATGCGATATATTCACCTGGTACGACACCAGGTGAACATGCTTTTAAACAGACTGCCCCCTTAAACTGGCACGCTTGAAAAAAAAAACGATTTTTGTATATTAAAATTCATACTTGGCTCCGAGGCTTAGGGGAATAAAACAAAAGAAATCACCTTGAGGCTTAGCCATGGATAAAACAAGTATGAATTGCAATATAATATCGAAATTGTTTGTTTTTTCTCCACATTTTCATGTTATACACTCGAACTTTTGGAAATAATTTAGAACACTGAGCTTGTTACAAGTGCATCTGTTTTAGCCAACTCAGCATGGTTACTTACAAGTAAACTGGCATTAAACAAATCACTTTATATTAGAAATCTTACAATTTAGACTTAGGTGTAACTAATGAATCGGGGGGGGGATGGGAAATTGTAGGGGGAACGGTGCAGCAGGGCTGCAAATCCAACTGTGAGGATTATTGGATGAGGTTAAAAAAAAGCTAAGTAAGTAATTAACTAATTAAGCAACAGTTTTATAATGCAATAATTGTAAAATAGATTCAAAAGTCAAATGGTCTACGCCTTAGAGATGTGATTGATGAAAACCGCTTTCAAAATTGCGTACGTGATTTTAGTTCCAGTGTCTCGGTACAAACTGGATTGAAACATTCTGGCGAATGTGCCTCGTTATCCATTGCTCGGCCGGAATGAAGCGGATTCGTTCAATCTTAGAGGTGGAACAGTTAGGGCCATTTATACCAGGAAAGAAAAGACGCGTCCACAATAAGACGCCAACTTCACCGTATAAACGGCGGCACAACTCGTCTGAAATAAGACGCTACTTAGCCAAGAGTAAAACAGGTGTTAAAGGCTATTCTTAGATAAGTCGGGTCTTATCTTATTTCAGACAAAATGTGTGGTTTATACGGTAAACTTCGCGTCTTATTTAGGACAAATCTTATGTAAGACGAGTCTTATTTCTCCCCGTATAAATAGTCTTAACCGTGAAGTTGTTTCCTTTTCCTACTTACTAGAACTTTCTTGAGCAAAGAATATTTCAAATCCTGTCTTGTTCTCGAGCAGCCAGTCCGTGTGGAACGTTAATACAACGTATTTTCCTGATACAAGAAGGTCTGTTCCAGTGAGCTGGTCACCGCAGTATCGAACTTCGGTGATGCCATTCGTTATTTTCAAATAATCGATCCTACAAGAAAATCTCTATCAATACAAGTTGCTGTAGAGCAACAAATATCTCTCCCCCTCATTCTCCTCGCTAGATGCCAAAATAACGGTTTATCAGACTGATTCTCGAGATTGATTAAAAAATCCACCGATCAGAGCTAAAGGGACGGTAGCTGACCTAAACGTATACTTGATGAAAGTGAGATTCGATTGGACTAAACTTACAAGAAGCTATTTGAGAATGTTTTTGTACGCCTTCAAGTTTTTGACCCGCAATCTCAAAATTAAAGTTCAGAAAAGACGCTCGAAACGTACTTAGTCCTAAACAACAAAACAGCAAAGAGAAGAGAGACTTGAGTTTTCCAGACATTTTGGAAGGACAAGCCATCCTTCTTCAGGGGATTTAATGAAGAATCGGAAAGTCGACTTTCTGATTCTTCATTAAATCTCCTGAAGAAGGAGGGCTTGTCGGTCCGAAATATCGGGGAAACTCAAGTCGCTTTTCTCTTTGCTGTTTTGTTATTTATTTCTATATTTTTGTCTTGGTTGAGACAGCAGGATTTGGCTGTCGTCATTTATATAAAAAGTATTTATTCCTACCTGCATTCCGAATCTGACGCCAGGTCAAAACTTTGAAACTTCAGTCTCATCGCTTTACCAGCCGGAATCGAAGTATTGTAGACGCAGCTCATGCTGGCTGCATAGAAGCCATTTGAGTATGCAGGACTTTTCAATGTATTGTTCACTACTGACCCACATGAAACTGAAATGTAAGCGATGCATTTCAAGACCCTTTGTTCTTCTAACTAAATTCTAGATACACATATATACACAAGCAACCCATCTCCTACAGGAAATTGGCAGTCTTGCAAACCCACTGCTGGGAATGATCAAAGACTAAGGTTTATTTCTATATTGTACTGAAATTCCTTCAAAGCCAAAAAAAAAGGAGGGTATAAAGTTTGGTTTGCTTGTGCTCCAACGTACAGGGAAATTTAGACCCCTTCTACTATACAAGATGGTTGGCTGAACGTCCCTTGGGCTTAAACTGTGCTATTAAAGTTGGTTAAGAAGAATAAAGCGCTACCTTGAATCTGAGATACTTTATTGGTATAGACATCGCAGCCAGAAGCTGCAAATTACGTGTAAACAAGATAAAAACTACTAAATTATAGAAAACGCATAAATTACAATCGATTTTAAAAAAGTTATAACTCGGAAGAATATCTACATATACATAAAATATATAAAATAAGAACAAAGGTTTTTTTTTTTTTAAAGAACTGGTCGGTGGCTATTCTAGATGAGTTTACCCGGAGGCATTGGGAATTAAAGATCATTCTTGGGTCTGCAAGTTTTAAACTTGACATCAAAAGTTCTGGCATGCCTGAGGGTGTGACTATGCGAGTCAGGCAGTAAGTGAAGAAGACGGTGATCTAAGATATTTATCGAAAAGGGATTGACACAGGCGCTGAGAATGAACCACTAGTAATAATTCTAGGTCTAACGAAGGTAGAGCGTTGTCGCAGGATAAGGCTAGGTGGGGTATATGATGGAGAGAGCCAAATCGTCTATTAGGTACTGAGGTAACGAAGCATGAAACACAGGAATTGCGTAATTGAAAACAGACCTTATACAGCCTGTGTAAAACCTAAGCAGATCGGCCTTGTCGACATAATGGCGCTTTTATTGCCTATAAGAAAATACAGGCGTTTAGAAGCTTTCTTTACCATCTCACCGATCAGACACGTTCATATTCCAAGAAAGGTTGCTGGTACCTGTTTGAGTCCGTTGCTGATTGCCTCAAATTCCTCGGCTAATTTTTCATAACATTCTAGAGTTGACCAAATTTGGAATGCGTTTTCGAATATCCAATAAAATGACATCAATAATTCGGGTAATCGCTAAAAAGAGTGGCGGAGACCGAGAAGCCTTGAGAACGTCAGGCTTCGTTAGCTCAGCTGTTTGCGTCCAGCTGGCAAAGAATATCACTGCTAGACTTTACGACTTTTGTACCCAAAATTTACAAAAGAACAGAAAAATTGTAATGAACTCAAGACACCACAAGAAGTAAGCACGTTTTAAACTAAGAGTTACTTTAAGTGAATAATATATACGCTACACACACCCTCCTCGACCTGCATACTTCAACAGATCATGCTAAGCCTCATCCAACAATTCCTAAATATGTCATCGATATTCCTTTCAAAGATTTATTCCTCATCCTCTTGGCATTTATTCGCAATCATGTTCTTTTTTGCTGCTATATTTACTTTCGTTTGCCGCGGTTCGATTCTATGACCAATATTCCTTCTTAAAAACACCTCGCTGCACTAAAATTAAAATTCGTTAATTGGGTCTCACAAGAATGAGGACAAAACCTAAAACAATGAAAAAACTGTTGAAGAACAATTAAGTAAGGGTTGTTTAACTGGAACAATAGGGTATGCGATATATTCACCTGGTACGACACCAGGTGAACATGTCACATACCCCAGAGGGATAGGTAAATAACATGCTTATTTTCACGCGTGAGCTTTCAAAAAGCAATTGCTTTTGAAAAATCTTTAATTTATTTCTCTACAGATGCTCATTCCCAAAACCCTTGAATTGTTTGAGGTTGAATTCTAAAATATGGAAATTGGTCAATTCATTTGGAGTAGTCAAACAGTAGTTTTACCACAAAGAGATGAGTGACTCAGAAAAATACGTATTCTTAACGTTAAGGCGGAGCAGTTTGGAAACTCTTTTGGACCTTCTACCGCGACAGATTTTTGTGTCAGGCGTCCGACGAGTCACATTGCAAGCCAGGCTGTTCTCAGGTAGAAGTTGACAGCTTGGTTTAGAGGTAGTTAGTAATACGACCCACGCGATTTTCTGGGTGGGAAGGGGGACCGTTCACCTCTGCGTGGCCCCACTGAAAACTGAGTAAAAATCAACGATTTCCACGCCAAATTAATATTTATCATCAGAAGTTAACGCAATCGCACGTGAAACCGATTGGCGACCCACGTTAAACCTGTTAATTAGGTGTATATCAACATTCATATTCATGCTTAAGGTATGGTAAAATGATTGATCAGCGCCCCACAGCCTTTACTGCTCCATTATTTGTCTACTATTAGTGAAATCTAAACTACTATTATGACTCCAATAAACCTTTCCCAAACTTCAATTTTCAAAACAAAAACCCCGCTCTCATAACTTATTAAGCTATGTTTAGACCAGTTTTCGCTCACCCAAAAAGTACACTCACGCGCTACATTCCTTAATACCTTGTATCTCCTTGACTACCTCAGGTGCTGTCCTGTAAGAGCTGCTAATAAATGCTTTAGCATTAACGAATATTAACTCTTTCCTTAACACACAACAGTTTTTATTTAAACGAACATTCCATCCATAATCATCACAGTCAGCAGTCAGTCGTTTCGACTAAGAGTGTTGTAGGGCTCAGCACAGTTTTATAAGTCTCCTCCAGGTAGGTCTGTCGTTGACCCTCTCCTGCCATCGGTTGAAATCGATGTCTCTCCGATTCATATTTCTCTTAGCAACATATTTGAACCTTAATCTAGGCCTCTATTGATTACTCATTACCAAACAGGCCTCTACTGATTACGCATTGCCAAACATAGTTGAAAGAATAACAGCTTCTTCGGTAGTCTGTTATTATCCATCCTATGCACGTGAGTCAGCAATCTAAGATTTTTCCCAATGAGAATATCAGCCATTGATGGAAGTCCTGCCCACTGGTTGGAAAGGCGTAGTGATCTACATCCTGTCAGGATACCACGACTATTAATTCTCACAGAAGGTGTGGCACCGCCAGGGTTTAACACCTTAACCAACTGATACAACAGATGACAAGGTGGTATAACTCGTCGTCCAACTTACGTGCTCCATAACTTAGATAGGCCTGCTACCCCTGTGAAGGCTAGTGTTGTTGCTTTACCAGAACAAAAGCCATGTAAACGTCTCACCATCATCACCTCCTGTCATTTACCCGAGCTGAAGTCATCCGTTGAACACCGGTAATAATAATAATAATAATAATAATAATAATAATAATAATAATAATGAAATATGTACAAGGTAATATAACAAATGAACTAACAACAAGATCTTTTAAGATTAAGGACATTTACAATGATGACTATTAAAAACCATAATTCCATGATAATAAAAGGATCTCTTGGCCACTTCTGTTCTTCTGGCAGGTACATGCAAGAGATTGCTCTGGCGCGTTGAACGAGCACAAATGTCCTTGTTAAAAACAAAGTAGTTCTTAAAATACTGAGGGCACCGGCAATGTATACATTTCCTTACAAGTTTTAGGATGTGTTCATCGCGTCTGGACCTAAGACTTGACCATTTCAAAGCTTTCGTCGCAGTGTCACTACTAGGTGTTTTAATTACAATTCTTCCAACGCACTTCCGCAGAGTTTCTAGAGTTCCACTATTTACTTCACCACAGCACCCCCAGACCCCAGCACCGTACTCTAAAGTCGGTCTAATCGTAGATAAAAAATGGCATTGGCACTATGTGTGGTGATATAACGGCGAACACGTCCTAACAGACCGACCTGCCTGCCAGCTTTAAACACAATTGCTTTAACATGTTCGCTCCAACTGAGGTGTACTAAAACTCAGTAACACGCTTTATAGCAGACCCTATTACCGTTTACAGGACGAAAAGGAATTCTCTTTCTTTAGAACAATGCCTAAATCTCTTGCCGTGTCAACATGCTTTATGGCCTTGAGCGGACAGATGTTCGTTTGAGGATTCCTGCGAACATTAAGAAACATTATGAAGCTCCCCAGATTGTAAACATCTTAAGTCACGGAAACAACCCTGGTAATATCGCCAGTCAGCTTTCCTTCCTTAATCAGCTATCATTCTGCCATGGTACACGGGCTGTCATCTCTCCTCCGACCTTAACGAGGTTCTGGTATCGACAAGCTTATCATGTTTTCAACGGCTTTAAGTGGGCAGTACGGTTAAAAGCGTTATTTTTCGTTGATTTCGACCCTTTTTCTTAAATATCTAGCCAAAATTCCATTCAATCCAAAAATAACTCAATTAAGTTACAGTCCTTAATTCAATAATTATTTATCAACTTTTCAACGATTTTCGGATGTTTTTAATGTATAAAATTTAGGGAGGGAGTAGCCTGCGTAGCTGGCGGTATTGTCTTGGCGCACCATTTAAGTTCTGGCGGCGGAGCCGTGATCCAAAAAAAAGTGGGGACGAGGCGTTTGAATTTCTCGCGGCTTACGCCGCTTTTGGTGGCTTCGCCGCCAGATCTGAACACTCGACTACTACACAATACCGCCAGCTACGCAGGCTAGGAAGGAAGATATTTAAAATTTTGGGAGAATGGGAAAATAAATAATTGGATTTGGGGGTTGTTAAAAATTAAAATATGAAGTGAATAATTTGTAGACAATTACCAGATAGTCCACCACCACAACAAGGTGCTTCTCATCCCATCAGCGGACTAACTGCACTGGTTTATGTGTATACCTTTTCAACCCTAATTTATTTTCTTCCCAAATCAACATCATTTCCCCAAAAAGCTAAATGTAATGCCCCCTTAACCTCGCTATTCCTGAAACTGGAAATCATGGTCCTTCTTTCCTACACCAAGTTTGGTTGTTTAATTTATTTTGTTTTTCAGACGAAGGCAAGGATACCACTGGGCAAATATATCAACTAAGAATCTGGAATCACGCTCACCCCGGTAAAGAAAGCAGAAAACAGTTAAGACCCGCGAGGCGGGAAGGCCCTTAAATTAAGGATATATTCTTTCATGCAAAGCTGCCATAACTATGCTGACTAAGGGGACAAAATGCAGTACACAATACATGTATATGGAGCTGAATAAATACGACTGCTCGTTCGTTTAAGTGTTCTGTATATCATGTCTCCTCTCATTTTTTTGTGATACCTGACACCCATTAATTTTCACTTGTTAAATAACATACAGTGAAACCTCTACAAAGCGGACACCTTCGGGACCCCAAATGTCTGCTTAATAGAGGGTGTCCGCTTAATAGAGGTTAGTAAAAATAGCGCAATGTTTGTTATCGATTAACATTCAACGGTTACTCTGTACCGTGATAAAGTTCCATGTTGTTAAGGAAACTAAGTAAGCTGTGCCGTACTTTGTGCAAGACTTTTCGGTTAACTCTGATCGCGGATGACAATCATAAGGCCGGATATCGGTCTTCTGACAGCTAAATGTATTGATTTATCTTTATTAACCGACTACAGTACGTATTTCAAGGAACTGTCAATTCAATCCGGTGTCCGCTTAATAGAGGTTTTAAACAATAGAAATTAGCGAAATACAATTTATTTTAGTGTCCGCGTCCGCTTAATAGAGGTGTCAGCTGAATAGGGGTTCGTTATAAAGGGAAATATAAGATGTTCATTTCAGGACCCGGCTTAGTGTCCGCTTAATAGAGGGTGTCCCCTTAATTAGGGGTCTGTTTCATAAAGGTTTCACTGTATTCACTTGTCAGGATTTGAGGACGTTTTTTTGTTGCTCACACTTTCTAAGGGAACAAGGTATATACAAAATGGCCCATCCTATTACAATATTCACACTTCAAACAAAGAGGGCTTGAAGAACGTGCCTTTTCGCCACTGCTGTTTTCTCCCACAGGAGTCTCCTTGAACACTTTTGCAACTATGTCCAAGACCATCACCCAAAAGGCGCATAAACAACCTGATCAAGTAGTACTTGTTATTCAGGCTCGATACTTTTTGCTTTTTGATAGTGAACGTGCTGTATATAAGCGCTCGACTAAGTGCTGCGGTGATAAGTCAATAACAACCTTTACCGATAGCCTGAATTTCATCTGATTACTTCGAGTCGTTATTACTCCCTCAATAACGTCTGAATCGACCAGCCGTTAATTCCATCCAGTGACTTCACTAATCCTTTGCTTTAATTCATGCAAAAAGTTAAACACGATTTTCTAGTGGAAAACCAAGAAATATCGTTTGGAAATGTCTGCATGATACGGAGTGACTTTACTTTTTTCGATCGTAATTCATGTTTAAGGTTCAAACTATCAGCTGCAGGCAGTATTCTGAACCTGTTGTAATAGGCCACTTCCGAGTTCCAAAAACCCTCACTTTCAAAATGAGGCCAAGTGCACAACCTTTCTTGTGAAAATGACTTTTATTTGCACGAGAATGACAAATCGTTTCCATATCAAAGGCGCACCAATTACTGATTACGAGTCTTCATAGCCGATAACATCACGGCTTAACTGACAGACGACCAATAACATCGCGACGTAATTTACCAATCAGATCAATAACTAGAGTATAATACCATCAACTGACGTGATACAACTCACTTTCACTCTGAAGATGACTACTGCAGAGGTTGTCGAAACGTCAGTCACTGTTAACAACAGTCCTATTCAGGACTACGTTCACCCGGACGATCAAACTCAACCTACTTTTGAAATGACTCCTGGGTTCAAACCTTCCACAGAATCATTACACTTGACTTTGAAAATAGCTTGAAGGTCGTTTTACAATATTGGTCTTAGAAACTTCGTATAAACAAAATCACTGCCGAAACCACAAAGTGGCTCTAAATGAAAAACCTACCGACTCTGCGCAATGATTCTTCATTCGCTGTTCAATTTAGCATTTCAGTTTAGAAGACGAGGGCAAATTTACTGTTTACGATAAAGATTATCGAAATGTTTGAACTCCACGCAAGCATACCAGGGATGTGATCCGCTGAATATCAAGCGACAATCCCGCTAAAATTTCTCTTAATTATGCATAATTAAGCGAATGTTTAGACAATCAACCAATCAAAATCACTACCCGGTTTTCGGGTAGTGATGGCGTCACTGGACGGCATTAACGACCGGTCGATTCAGACGTTGCTAAGAGGAGAAAACGACTCGAAGCAATTGGATGAAATTCAGGCTACCTTTACCGACTGCTTCAACTGTTTACACACCGAACGCAGTCCGTAAATTGAACAGAGAGTGTTTCTTTCTCTCTTTAAAGCGTCAAGTAAACTGTAATCCAACAACATACAGTTACATACCAAAGGATCATGAGAAAAGGAGCTAGTTCTCTCTCCACTGTCACCCACTGGCTTAAAGTGCTAACAACGGTCACTTGCCATAAATTTTCACCAACCGATTACCGATTGCCTGCGACGTTCTTTCTTGCTATAGACTAGATGCCTATACCTCCTCGCTTCAGCCCTTTGTAAACATCCAACGACCACTAGAGCCGAAGGAATTAATACAAACAATAACGCTCTTAATATCGGCGTTAAGTCTCGCTTGCTTAGAGATTAGAAAAGAAATTAGGAGGCGACTTATTCTAGGCGAAACAGGATTTACTTGCTAAAGGCTTTTCACTTCCTACTTTATCGACCATCGAGTATTCTGCAGGTTATTTACTTTTTATATTGTATTCGACGGTTTGTTTCTGAATTGATTTAGGGACAGAGCAAGGGTTGGGGGGCAATTTCTTCTGAGTATCATTACTATTTGTGAATTTTTTTTTTCACCAAAATAAGACTCTGCAAGGATTTTTTTTACCATTCAATGTCATCTTATTATACCTAGAATAAAAACCTTGAAGAAGCCCGACAGAAGCCCGATCCCCCTTTTAATTCGTGGACACTGCGATATGCAAGTTTGTCACTCGGATGTAGACATCTTTCGTAATTAGTCGGATCTCACGAAAACTTCCGATGTCAAAACAACAATTGTCGTAGATCGATCGTTCCCGTTCTGCGATCAAGAAGTGATGAGCGTGCACTGTGCCCAGAGCTTCTGACGTTATGATTTTGTACCTTTCACAGGACGATAAGTTATCTTCATGTGGAATTTGATATGTTTCAGATTAGCACTATAGCCAACTTTGAGACAGAAGTTTATGAATTTTTTAACCTTTTTTCACTCGTCCAGGCGAGCTCTCGATACTGTCGTGACTCTCACAATTTTTTAACTTTTCTCACGACAAGACTCCCAATCTCATGGTTTTTAGGAAAATATCATTCTGAAATGAAATGTTTCTTTGTTGCATCAAAAATGTTTACTGTTGCTCAATCGTAATTGATAATTCTCCTCATGTAAATGCAGAGAATTGCAAGCTGTACAATGCCGTCAGCAAGAGAGTTCCCGACGGTTTTGTTAGACATTTAAAGTCGCTCATTGTCGGACATGTGTTCTTCAATTGCGACGAAATGAGTGAAAGTGCGGTATTTACCGTCAAAACCCTGCTTTTTGTTCTCGAATATATCTCTTAATTCTTCATAAATAAAGGTCTGCCAGCTTCAAAGGGTTTTAGTCCGTGAAAGTAATGTTTTTCTGCAATGCTGTATCACGCTGGGCTCGGCTCATTACTTTTCTTTGCAGAATGTTAAATTAATATCACGGATAGTGATTTACAGATCCAAAATTATAAGAATGAAGTGCAGCTTAAACTGAAGCTACATCAACTATGGAGAACTGCATTGTGACTCAGTAAACTCCAGCTTAGTGTTTTTCTAAAGGGTAGTGTGAGTCTTTTGACTGTAGCGCGTAGTTCCTCCCTTGGTAATAGCTTTTGAATAAGCTTAACAGTCTTTGGACTGTTTTGTTATTGCCACTTTGTAATCAGGCAAGACCATGGTTTCGATTCTCCACACGAACCTCGTCAGTTGCCGGGTTGGCTTTGTGCTTAGTTGCTTTTACAAGAGCAACTATAATTAGTTGTTCTCTTCTCGTGGCGAGAAGGTACAGCCGTTTTTTCTACTAAGCTTGGCGGATCGAAATTCGTGTTTTCCTACTGGCTACTGAACGAAGCTCGTCAGTTGCCGGGTTGGCTTTGTGCTTAGTTGCTTTTACAAGAGCAACTTTAATTAGTTGTTCTCTTCTCGTGGCGAGAACGGTACAGAAGTTTTTTCTACTAAGCTTGGCGGATCGAAATTCTTGTTTTCCTACTGGCTACTGAACGTAACCAAATACGGAGGGTGAATTTCTATCCTAGAGGTGTTTTTTTCTTTTTTTTTTGGAAAGCATTTCGTGAAAATGTTAGCACTTTCTTTTCTGGGAGAGTTCAAAGACTCTTCTCTGCGCGCACAGAGTTTCAGTACACTCCCCCTAAAAACTGGAGTGGATATATGCGTTCCCTCTTAGGTGCACAATGTTGAGCTTTCTGTAACATTAGTTGTCGTGGCGCTATAGGTACCGCGTTGAACTTACACATTTAGGCCTAGGGTTCGACTTCCACGGTAAGAATTTTTTTCTTTTGGTCGTTTTGATTTTGTTTTCCTAGTTTTTTTATTTTTTTTTTTTAATCAAACATATTTTCATTTTCTGACAGACTTAAATTATGCCGGTAGACTAATTGCAAGTTCATTGTCAGCTTTCATTTCTAAAAAAAATAATCCACTAGTTAGCCATAGGCACCCTTTGATTTGTGTTGGATCCTCCATTTTGTCTTGCTAGACTAAGTTACATGAGTAACACGTTCATCGTTGTAAATCCTTGTTTTTCTCAAGCCACCTTGCCGTGTAACCCGTACTAAGTTGTTAACTCACGAATTGAGTGTTTCTTGCGAAACAACAACAGTACGTTTTTTTTTTCTTAAAGATGTGAATGAGGGCAGCCACAATAGTGTTTATCAAAGAAACTATTAATTAAAATGACAACTAAGGTAAATTTATTTACTTTGAGATGATCGAGTCTATTTTGAAAATAAAACTTAATATAATATATTCATCTGAAAACACCAAATGGAAACACAGAATTTTGACACTGTGCATTTCATTTTGGTATTTATTAAGTGAGAAGTTTATGATTCCAGAAGTAGTGTTCATGGCTGTGTAGTGTTTATGGCCAGAAGTGATGTTGGATCAGTTTAGGTTTCTGGGAAACTGCCTACCCACCCCACCCCTAGCACATGTTAATGCCCTTAAGTCACACGTCAGTGATAAACATTGGTTAGGGGTGGGGTGGATGTGCAGTTTTGAAAACGTTTTTCTTGTGTTTCCTTTTTTTATTCAATATTTTAAATTTAGGGTTGCTTTTTTATTGGAAATTTAGTGGACCTTTCAGTCTGGCACCCATTCTGCTGGTAAACAGTTGGATTACCTTTTGAGAGAGGGGGATTTTGAAACATATGTTACTCTCTGATTTTTACATGGGTAAAAATGACACTTTCTGGGCATATCTCAAACACAGGATGTTAGGATATTTAATATTAAGGTATCTTTCTGCTTCACGTGTTTAATATCCGCCAAAGCACCTTTTATTCAGGGTCATCATTAAAAGGATGGCTTTTCATTACACCTGCAACATTTTGTAAGTGTTTTGCATGGTGATAATGCATCCTCGTAGCTTTCTTTTAGTTCTTGACCCCGTTCCTGCCGAAAGGCCACCTCCGAAAGAGTCTTGACAATAATTAATATAATGTCTAAATAAAACTCTCCAGATTAAGGAGATCTATTTTTTCTTGTATTTTTAAATACCTGTTCATAAACAAATTCAACGAGCACGCATGCTTGAATTTTTTTGTTCAGGTATTTTCTTATGCATGATTTTTTCGCTTAAATTTCTTATGTAGGACCATTTTTTGGTACGTGCCCATCCCCCGAAAAAAAAAAAAGTAGCGTGCTAGCGACGACCGGAGATACGTCTGCGGTAGTAGGCTATACGCGTGTATAATTACACGAAAGTTCAAGGGCCTCGATTGGAGACAAATTACATGGCACGTCATTTCAATCATCGTCGAAAATAAACCGCAAGCTCATCATAAGGTTCATTTGCATACGATAAAAGTTTACAACACCCGACCAGTTAGTCTTTGCTAATTGTGTTCACTTTTTCCAAAGTTATCAACTCTTTCAAGCGATAGAATTCGTGGACCTACCCGTTCTGGAAAAGCTCTAAGTCGCATTTATAAATCTTTCTTAAGCCTTCTTCGCAAAACATGCGTGGCTTCGGTCACGCAACGATTCTTATTCCCAGTTTTCACCGTCTCCGCTAGGAACGCCTGGGACCCCAACGCCCTTTTGTGTCTTAAATACGAAGAAAAACGGCTTGCAAATTATGAGTCTTGCTGCTTACACAAGCGAGACTAATAACTCGAGTCTGTGGCGTTTCTCTAGTCATAGACAAGATGCCCTATTTACCAACTAGCCACCACCGATTAAATCGGCAACCTCGTTAAAAGCGAACCTCCTTCTAAATTTCAGACTCAGTTCATAACATTAAGTACCGAGCAAAATTTATGAAGAATTGTATCGAGTCATCAGAACAAAACGGGACGGGACTATAGTATATAGTTAACTTTCCTGTAAAAGGGCTCGAAGGACCATGTTCGTACTTCGACAGTTGAGGACTGAATGATTTATTTAAATGTTCTTAACACCTCATGTTCTTATACAAGTTACGTAAACTGAATATATTACATTTCATGAATATTTCAGAACACTTGCTATACAGTTTATAAAGGGCCTCTACCCAAGAATAGTCTGCGGGCTCCTCTTGTCGCCCGCAAAGAAGTATCCAGTGGAAACTTGATGAAGGGAGATTGTTCCACTGTGCTATTATTCTTTAAAAAAAAAAAAAGAAAAAGATCCTCGGATCTGGTGGAATTTGTATAGGGATAAAAGAAATTCTGGGCGGGCGTGTCTCGTTATCCATTTCCCGGCCGGGATGAAGTGGATTCGTTCAATCTTAGAGGTGGAGCAATTAGGGCCATTTATACGAGGGAAAATAAGAAGCGTCCGCTTTACATAAGACGCGAACTGCACCGTATAAACGGCACATTTAATTTCGTCTGAATTAAGACGCGACTTAGCCAAGAGCGTCTTACCTAAGAACAGGTGTTAAGGGCTATCCTTAGTTAAGGCGCATCTTGTCTTATTTCAGACAAAATGTGCCGTTGAAACGGTAAAGTTCGCGTCTTATTTTGGGCACGTCCTATTTTTCCTCGTATAAATGGCCCCAAATGTAAAGTTGTTACCTTTTTCTTGAACGAAGAGTATTTCAAATCCTTTCTTGTTCTCGAGCAGCCAGTCCGAGTGGAATGTTAATACAACGTAGTTTCCTGATACAAGAAGGTCTCTCACACTGTGCTGGTCACCGCAGTATCGAGCTTCTTTGATGCCATTCGTTATTTTCAAATAATCGACCCTACGAGAAAATCTCTTTCAATACAAGTTGCTGTACAGTAACAAATATACCCCCACACATTCACCTCGCTAGGTGCCAAAAAAACGGTTTATCGGACCGATTCTCGTAATTGTTAAAATATCCACCAATCAGGGCTCAAGGGTCAGTAGCTGACCTAAACGTAAAGATGAAAGTGACAATCTGTACGACTGAATTATTTTACATGAACCTATTTGAAAACCTTTTTCTATGCTTCTAAGTTTTTGACCAGCAAACTCAAAATTAAACTTCAGATAAGAAAAGCTAGACGTATTTATTCCTACCTGCATTCTGAATCTGACGCCAGGTCGAAACTTTGAAACTTGAGTCTCATCCTCTTACCATCTGCAATCGAAAGATTGTAGACGCAGTTCATGTTGCCAGCGTAGAAGCCATCTGAGTATGTAGGACTTTTCAGGCTATTGTTCACTACTGACCCACATGAAACTGAAAAGTAAGCGATGCATTTCAAGATTCTGTCGTTTCCTAACTAGATTCCAGATACACGTATATACAAAACAACCAGCCCAACTCACACAGGAAATGGGCACTCAAGCAAAACCCACCGCCTGGAATGATCGAAGTTTATTTCTATATTGTAGTGAATTACCCTTCAAAGCCAAAAAAGTATGTATAAAGTTTGGTTTGCCTGTGCTCCAACGTACGGGGAAATTCAAACCCCTCCTACTATACAAGAGAGTTGGCTGAACGTCCCTTGGGCTTAAACCGTGCTATTAAAGTTTGTTAAGAATAATAAAGCTTGAATATTTATCCACTAGACAGATGGAGATGGATCGATACTTTATCGGCATGCTCATTGCAGCCAGAGGTTAAATTACGTATAAACTATAAAATATAAAAACTACCAAATTATAGAAAACGCATAGATTATAATCGATTTTAAAGAAGTTATAACTCTAAAGAACACATAAGCATAAATTACGAACAAAGTTTTATTTAAAAAAGCTGATGGCTATTCTAATGAGTTTACACGGAGGCAATGGGAATTAATAAGATAATTCCTGGCATGCCTGAGGGTGTAACTATGCGAGACGGGTATGCGAGTCGAGTATGCAGTAAGTGACTAAGACGCTGATCTCTGTCCTCTAAGATATTCATCGAAAAGGGACTGACACAGGTGCTGATGATGAACCACTAGTGATAATTCTAGGTCTAACGAAGCTAGAGCGTTGTCGTAGGATAACGCTAAGTGGGGCATATGATGGAGAGAGCCAAATCGTCGATTAGGTACTGAGGTAACGAAGCGTGAAACACAGGAATCGCGTAATTGCAAACAGACCTTATACGGCTTGTGTAAAACCTAAGCAGTTCGGCCTTCTCGACATAATGGCGCTTTTATTGCCTATAATGTATCGGTCAAATCGAAGCTTCAACATGCCCCCCTCCCCGGGCAACCCCCCGGGAATTTGACTTTTTTGAAAATTTTTGTTCAAATTCCCCCCTACCCGGGCCAAAATCCCGTTCAAATGCCCCACACTAGGGTCCATTCAGGTGATCAAATGCCCCCACCCCGGGGACATTTCACAGGCACAAAAATGACTGAAGGACGGCGAAAACGCCTTCAGTTGTCGAAAAAAGTCTTTATAAATATAACAAAAACTGAGAAACACTATTAGCGTATTTACTACGAACAAAAGTCTCGTGCAAAGCGGCGGAAATCGCTACTACAAGGTCACTGAATGCTCAGCTTTTCTTCGTCATGCAACATACAAAGCGTTCTATAAAAAAAGATCCCACCTATTGAGATTACTACATCATGACCATTTCACTGACATGCATCATCGCTCACCTTATTAATTAACATACTTGCAGTAGGTCAAAGAAGTTGACCTGAGATTTTTATTTCATTTTATTTTATGTTGTTGTATTGAATCGCCGGTATAGGTATTGTATGTCATTGTAAACACAACAATGAAATACATTCATACATTCAAAGCCTGAATCCAGTATTTAAAATTTTAAAATTTAAATACTTCAAATACGGCACAAAGCTTGTTTAAGCCCTTTCCTCGTAACCAATTGGCCACAAAGGCACAATCTTTTCCACGAAAATCCTCTAACACCGCGTCCCACATGATAGCTCGCCATGAAAAAGATTTTACATGAAATCGAGGGTGCAGTTCAAATTCCCCACACCTAAAGCATGGGGATCAAATTCCCCACCCCTTGGAAGACTCTGATAATCAAATTCCCTCCTCCCCGGGACGTCAAAGGTGTCAAATGCCCGGGGTATGCCCGGGGGGGGCATGTTGAAGCTTCGATTTGACCGATACATAAGAAAATACAGGCATTTAGATGCTTTCTTTACATCTCACCGATCAGACACGTGCATACTTCCACGGTAATAAAACGATCTCTTGGCCACTTCTGTTGTTCTGGCAGGCACTGATGCTAGAAATTACTCTGGCGCGTTGAAAGAGCACAAATGTCCTTGTTAAAAACAAAGTAGTTCTAAAAATACTGAGGGCACCGGCCTTGTATACATTTCCTTACAAGTTTTAGGATGTGCTCATCGCGTCTGGACCTAAGACTTAGCCATTTCAAAGCTTTCATCGCAGTGTCACTACTAGGTGTTTTAATTACAATTCTTCCAACGCACTTCTGCAGAGTTTCTAGAGTTACACTATTTACTTCCCCGCAGCACCCCCATACCCCAGCACAGTACTCTAAAGTCGGTTTAATCATAGATATAAAAATGGCATTAGTACTATGTGTGGTGATATAACGGCAAACACGTCCTAACAGACCGACCCGCCTGCCAGCTTTAGACACAATTGCTTTCACATGTTCGTGCCAACTGAGGTGTTCATAAAAGATGACACCCAGGTACTAAAACTCAGTAACACGCTTTATAGCAGACCCTATTAGCGTTTACAGGACGAAAAGGAATTCTCTTTCTTTAGAACAATGCCTAAATCTCTTGCCGTGTTAACATGCTTTATGACCTCGAGCGGACAGATGTTCGTTTAAGGATTCTTGCGAACATTAAGAAACATTATGAAACTCCCCAGATTGTAAACATCTTAAGTCACGGAAACAACCCTGTAATATCGCCAGTCAGCTTTCCTTCCTTTATCAGCTATCATTCTGCCATGGTACACGGGCTGTCATCTCTCGTCCGACCTTAACGAGGTTCTGGTATCGACGAGCTTATCATGTTTTCAACGTCTTTAAGGAGGCAGTACGGTTAAAAGCGTTATTTTTCGTTGATTTCGACCCTTTTTCTTAAATATCTAGCCAAGATTCCATTCAATCCAAAAATAACTCAATTAAGTTACAGTCCTTAATTCAATAATTATTTATCAACTTTTCAACGATTTTCGGATGTTTTTAATGTATAAAGTTTAGGGAGGGAGTAGCCTGCGTAGCTGGCGGTATTGTCTCGGTGCACCATTTAAGTTTTAGCGGCGGAGCCGTGATCCAAAAAAAAAAAAAGTGGGGACGAGGGGTTTGAATTTCTCGCGGCTTACGCCGCTCTTGGGGGCTTCGCCGCCAGATCTGAAAACTCGACTACTACACAATACCGCCAGCTACGCAGGCTAGGAAGGAAGATATTTAAAATTTTAGGAGAACGGGAAAATAAATAATTGGATTTGGGGGTTGTTAAAAATTAAAATATGAAGTGAATAATTTGTAGACAATTACCAGATAGTCCACCACCTCAACAAGGTGCCTCTTATCCCATCAGCGGACTAACTACACTAGTTTATGTGTATACCTTTTCAACCCTAATTTATTTTCTTCCCAAATCAACATCATTTCCCCAAAAAGCTAAATGTAATGCCACCTTAACTTCGCTATTCTTGAAACTGGAAATTAAGGTCCTTCTTTCCTACACCACGTTTGGTTGTTTAATTTATTTTGTTTTTCAGACGAAGGCAAGGATACCACTGGGCAAATATATCAACTAAGAATCTGGAATCACGCTCACCCCGGTAAAGAAAGCAGATAACAGTTAAGACCCGCGAGGCGGGAAGGCCCTTAAATTAAGGATATATTCTTTCATGCAAAGCTGCCATAACTATGCTGAGTAAGGGGACAAAATGCAGTACACAATACATGTATATGGAGCTGAATAAATACTACTGCTCGTTCGTTTAAGTGTTCTGTATATCATGTCTCCTCTCATTTTTTTGTGATACCTGACACCTATTAATTTTCACTTGTTAAATGACATACAGTGAAACCTCTACAAAGCGGACACCTTCGGGACCTTCCCAAATGTCTGCTTTATAGAGGGTGTCCGCTTAATAGAGGTTAGTAAAAATAGCGCAATGTTTGTTATCGATTAACATTCAACGGTTACTCTGTACCGTGATAAAGTTCCATGTTGTTAAGGAAACTAAGGAAGCTGTGCCGTACTTTGTGCAAGACTTTTAGGTTAACTCTGATCGCGGATGACAATCATAAGGCCGGATATCGGTCTTCTGACAGCTAAATGTATTGATTTATCTTTATTAACCGACTACAGTACGTATTTCAAGGAATTGTCAATTCAATCCGGTGTCCGCTTAATAGAGGTTTTAAACAATAGAAATTAGCGAAATACAATTTATTTTAGTGTCCGCGTCCGCTTAATAGAGGTGTCAGCTGAAGAGGGGTTCGTTATAAAGGGAAATATAAGATGTTCATTTCAGGACCCGGCTTAGTGTCCGCTTAATAGAGGGTGTCCCCTTAATTAGGGGTCTGCTTCATAAAGGTTTCACTGTATTCACTTGTCAGGATTTGAAGACGTTTTTTGTTGCTCAGACTTTCTAAGGGAACAAGGTATATACAAAATGGCCCATCCTATTACAATATTCACACTTCAAACAAAGAGGGCTTGAAGAACGTGCCTTTTCGCCACAGCTGTTTTCTCCCACAGGAGTCTCCTTGAATACTTCTGCAACTATGTCCAAGACCATCACCCAAAAGGCGCATAAACAACCTGATCAAGTAGTACTTGTTATTCAGGCTCGATACTTTTTGCTTTTTGATAGTGAACGTGCTGTATATAAGCGCTCGACTAAGTGCTGCGGTGATAAGTCAATAACAACCTTTACCGATAGCCTGAATTTCATCTGATTACTTCGAGTCGTTATTACTCCCTCAATAAAGTCTGAATCGACCAGCCGTTAATTCCATCCAGTGACGTCACTAATCCTTTGCTTTAATTCATGCAAAAAGTTAAACACGATTTTCAAGTGGAAAACCAAGAAATATCGTTTGGAAATGTCTGAATGATACAGAGTGACTTTACTTTTTTCGATCGTAATTCATGTTTAAGGCTCAAACTATCAACTGCACGCAGTATTCTGAACCGGTTGTAATAGGCCACTTCCGAGTTCCAAAAACCCTCACTTTCAAAATGAGGCCAAGTGCACAACCTTTCTTGTGAAAATGACTTTTATTTGCACGAGAATGAAAAATCATTTCCATATCAAAGGCGCACCAATTACTGATTACGAGTCTTCATAGCCAATAACATCACGGCTTAACTGACAGACGACCAATAACATCGCGACGTAATTTACCAATCAGATCAATAACTAGAGTATAATACCATCAACTGACGTGATACAACTCACTTTCACTCTGAAGATGGCTACCGCAGAGGTTGTCGAAACGTCAGTCACTGTTAACAACAATCCTATTCAGGACTACGTTCACCCGGACGATCAAACTCAACCTACTTTTGAAATGACTCCTGGGTTCAAACCTTCCACAGAATCATTACACTTGACTTTGAAAATAGCTTGAAGGTCGTTTTACAACATTGGTCTCAGAAACTTCGTATAAACAAAATCACTGCCGAAACCACAAAGTGGCTCTAAATGAAAAACCTACCGACTCTGCGCAATGATTCTTCATTCGCTGTTCAATTTAGCATTTCAGTTTAGAAGACGAGGGCAAATTTACTGTTTACGATAAAGATTATCGAAATGTTTGAACTCCACGCAAGCATACCAGGGATGTGATCCGCTGAATATCAAGCGACAATCCCGCTAAAATTTCAACCAATCAAAATCACTACCCGGTTTTCGAGTAGTGATGTCGTCACTGGACGGCATTAACGACCGGTCGATTCAGACGTTGCTAAGAGGAGAAAACGACTTGAAGCAATTGGATGAAATTCAGGCTACCTTTACCGACTGCTTCAACTGTTCACACACCGAACGCAGTCCGTAAATTGAACAGAGAGTGTTTATTTCTCTCTTTAAAGCGTCAAGTAAACAGTAATCCAACAACATGCAGTTAAGGATCATGATAAAAGGATAAGGATCATGAGAAAAGGAGCTAGTTCTCTCTCCACTGTCAGCCACTGGCTTAAAGTGCTAACAACGGTCACTTGCCATAAATTTTCACCAACCGATTACCGATTGCCTGCGACGTTCTTTCTTGCTATAGACTAGAAGCCTATGTCTCCTCGCTTCAGCCCTTTGTAAACATCCAACGACCACTAGAGCCGAAGGAATTAACACAAATAACAACGCTCTTAATATCGGCGTTAAGTCTCGCTTGCTTAGAGATTAGAAAAGAAATTAGGAGGCGACCCATGCAATTTCTTCTGAGTATGATTTTTTTTTTTTTCAGCATTACTATTTGCAGGAATTTTTTTTTTCACCAAAATAAGTCTCTGCAGGGATTTTTTTTTATCATTCAATGTTATTTATGTTAAACCTTGAAGAAGCCCGAAAAAGTGCCTGATCCCCTTTTAACTTGTGGATTACGCGTAGCGTAAGGAACGAGTTATTGTGGACACCGCGATATGCAAGTGTGTCATTCGGATGTAGACACCTTTCGTAATTAGTCGGATCGAACGAAAATTTCCGATGTCAAAACAACAATTGTCGTAGATCGATCGTTCCCGTTCCGCGATCAAGAAGTGCTAAGCGTGCATTGCGCCCAGAGCTTCTGACGTTATGATTTTGTACCTTTCACAGGACGATAAGCTGTCTTCATGTGGAATTTTGATATGTAAAAATAAATGTTTCTTTGTTGAATCAAAACAGAAATGTTTACTGTTGCTCAATTAATCGTAATTGATAATTGTCCTCATGTAAATGCAGAGAATTGCAAGCTATACAATGCCGTCAGCAAGAGAGTTCACGACGGTTTTCAGAGGCCCCTAACGGATACTTTCGGAAAATATCTGTTCGGAAGACGATTTGAGGTCTAGAATTTTCGGAACATTTGTTTTAAAATTTCTTGCCTGCTTGCCTCTCCTAGGATTTTCGAACATCTAAAAAATGGTATAATTGCCCATTTTAACGGATTTTTACGCTAAAAAGGTCACGTAGAATTTTTGGGAGCCTTTTTTCTTGCTGAAATTTTCAAAAAGGTAAGTTTTCATCCCTATAGTTTTCGGATCACTAGACTTTCAGCTAGGAAATCTGAACAGATGAATAGAGAGAATATGCCTATATCTGCCATTAAAACACTAAAATACGTTTAACAATGGTACGTTTAAGTGGTTTTGAACTATATTATCGTTGGGTGCCCCTGGGTTTTGCGAGACATTTAAAATCGCTCATTGTCGGACATGTGTTCTTCAATTAATTGCGACGAAATGAGTTAAAGTGCAGCTTTTACCGTCAAAACCCTGCTTATTGTTCTCGAATATATCTCTTAATTCTTCATAAATAAAGCTCTACCAGCTTCAAAGGGTTTTAATTTTCTCCAGAGTGCCTTCTGGAATTGAATAACTAAGCGATTTTTTTAGTACGTGAATGTGATGTTTTTCTGCAATGTTGTATCACGCTGAGCTCAGCTCATTAGCTTTCTTTGTAGAATGTTCAATTAAATGATCACTGATAGTACTTTACAGATCCAAAATTGTAAGAATGAAGTGCAGCTTAAACTGAAGCTACATCAACTTTGGAGAACTGCATTGTGACTCAGCAAACTCCAGCTTAGTGTTTTTCTAAAGGGTAGTGTGAGTCTTTTGAATAAGCTTAACAGTCTTTGGACTGTTTTGTTATTGCCACTTTGTAATCAGGCAAGACCATGGTTTCGGTTCTCCATACGAACCTCGTCAGTCGCCGGGTTGGCTTTGTGCTTAGTTGCTTTTACAAGAGCAACTTTAATTTAGTTGTTCTCTCCTCGTGGCGAGAACGGTACAGCCGTTTTTTCCACTAAGCTTTGACCTTGACATTAATACCCGCGTGGCGGATCGAAATTCTTGTTTTCCTACTGGCTACTGAACGTAACCAAATACGGAGTGTGAATTTCGATCCTCTTCTGCTTGAAACTAGAGGTGTGTTTTTTTTAGAAAGCATTTCGTGAAATTTTAGCACTTTTTTTTCTGGGAGAGTTCGAAGACTCTTCTCTGCGCGCACAGAGTTTCCGTACACTCCCTCTATAAACTGGAGTGGATATATGCGTTCCTTCTTAGGTGCGCAATGTTGAGCTTTCTGTAGCATAAGTTGTCGTGGCGCAATAGATAACGCGTTGAACTTACACCATAGGCCTAGGGTTCGACTTCCGCGGTGAGAAACTTTCTTCTTTTTTTTTTTTGGTCGTTTTGTTTTTGTTTTCCTAGTGTTTTATTTATTTAATTATTTATTTTTTCAAACATATTTTCATTTTTTGACAGACTTAAATTATACCGGTAGACTAATTGCAAGTTCATTGTCAGCTTTCATTTCTAAAAGAAATTCAGTCCACTATTTAGCCAAAGGCACCCTTTGACTTGTCTTGGATCGTCCATTTTGTCTTGCTATAGACTAAGATACATGTGTAACACGTTCATCGTTGTAAATCCTTGTTATTCTCAAGCCATCTTGCCGTGTAACCCGTACTAAGTTGTTATCTCAAGAACAAAGCGTTTCTTGCGAAACAACAACAGTACGTAGGGCAGCCACAATAGTGTTTATCAAAGAGACTATTAATAAAAATGACAACTACGGTAAATTTATTTACTTTGAGATGATCGAGTCTATTTTGAAAATAAAACTTAGTATAATATATTCATCTGAACACACCAAATGGAAACACTGAATTTTGACACTGTGCATTTCATTTTGGTATTTATTAAGTGAGCAGTTTGTGATTCCAGAAGTAGTGTTTATGGCTGTGTAGAGTTTATGGCCAGAAGTGATGTTGGATCAGTTTAGGTTTCTGGGAAACTGCCTACCCACCCCACCCCTAACCCATGTTTCTGCCTTACGTCACACGTCAGTGAGAAACATTGGTTAGGGGTGGGATGGATGGGCAGTTTTGAAAACAATTTTCTTGTGTTTCTTTAAATTTAGTGTTGCTTTTTTTATTAGAAATTTAGTGGACCTTTCAGTCTGGCACCCATCCTTCTGGTAAACAATAGGATCACCTTTTGAGAGAGGGGGAATTTTGAATGCCAAGAAACTATAGCACAAGTAAAACATATGCTACTCTCTGATTTTTATATGGGTAAAAATGACACTTTCTGGGCATATCTCAAACACAGGATGTTAGGATATTTAATGTCAAGGTATCTTTCTGCTTCACGTGTTTAATATCCGCCAAAGCACCTTTTATTCAGGGTCATCATTAAAAGGATGGCTTTTCATTACACCTGCAACATTTTGTAAGTGTTTTGCATGGTGATAATGCATCCTCGTAGCTTTCTTTTAGTTCTTGACCCTGTTCCTGCCAAAAGGCCACCTCCGAAAGAGTCTTGACAATAATTATAATAATTATTATAATACAACTTGTGTCTGTGTGTGGCAAATGGATTGTACTGATAAAAGAAATTTTAGTGTTATGCCACAATGATATGAACAATAAATTCAGTTATTGTTTTCAACATGAACTGATTAAAGTGGTCCTGAAAATGTCTTCATTGCAGATTTATTTGGGCAATCTTGGGGGGATGATTATAAATGTCTGCTCCTGACTGTTCAGATTAAGGAGGTCTATTTTTTCTTGTATTTTTAAGATTCAACGAGCACGCATGCTTGATTTTTTTTTTTCAGGTACTTTCCTGTGCACCCCCCCCCCATAGAAACGAAATGGTCTGTCCCTAAGTAGCGTGTTAGCAACGACCGGAGATACGTCTGCGGTAGCGGGCTATACGCGTGTATAATTACACGAAAATTCAAGGGCCTTGATTGGAGAGAAATTACATTGTGATGAGAACATGGCAAGTCATTTCAATCATCGTCGAAAATAAACCGCAAGCTCATCAAAAGGTTCATTTGCATACGATAAAAGTTTACAACACCCGACCAGTTAGTCTTTGCTAATTAAGATTTTTTTTTCGACCACCGAAGTGTTCACTTGTTTCAAAGTTATCAACGCTTTCAAACGAAAGTTATAATAAAACTCTTTCAAGCGATAGAATTCGTGGACCGACCCGTTCTGGAAAAGCTCTAAATTGCATTTATTAATCCTTCTTAAGCTTTCTTCGCAAAACATGCGTGGCTTCGGTCACGCAACGATTCTCATTCCCAGTTTTCACGGTCTCCGCTAGGAACGCCTGGGACCCGAACGCCCTTTTGTGTTCTAAATATGAAGAAAAACGGCTTGCAAATTATGAATCTCGCTGCTTACGCAAGCGAGACGAATAACTCGAGTCTGCGGCGTTTTTCTAGTCATAGACAAGATGCCTTATCCGCTAGTTTACCAACTAGCCACCACCGATTAAATCGCGATCGGCAACCTCGGTAAAAGCGAACCTCCTTCTAAATTTCAGACTCAGTTCATAACATTAAGTAACGAGTAAAATTTATGAAGATTTGTATGGAGTTATCAGTTTAAAACGGAACTATAGTATCTCCGAGACAATTTGCCTAACAATGCAAGCTTTTGGCAAGTAGGCCTCTCAGATATTCTTTCAAAATATCCCAACAAATTCCACTATTTCAAAAAGTTAAATTTAATGACGTCATCACTTTAGAACTCTAATGAGAAGTGTTGATATAAGCTGTCAAATCTGACCAATCAGAGGGTATACCAGGAGCTGGTATACCGGAAGAAGCCGTTTCAAAAACTGATTACAGGCTCTACCGCCTTTCCTCTTGCCAGTCGCCCCTCCTCCCCCGGTTTTATTTTCGCGCTTTCTCAATCCCCGCGGACCCGACTATCTCGGAGCCTGGAACAGGCTAAGGAAAATTATTAATACTGACTTAGCAGACACTCCCTTCCCTTTTCCCTTTCGCGCCTTTCTCCTTCTACCCCACTTTTGCCTCACCCTTTTGCGCCTGCCAAGAAGACTAAATTTCTTTGGTTGTTCTAACCTTTTAATAGTTAACCTCCACCTAAATACATAGAGAAAGCGTTCTTTCGGTTACTAAAGATTGCTCTACAAGAATTTGAACGACATGATAAATATTATCAATGTTTCTACCAGGCAAAGCAAGATAAATTATCAATGAAGAAAAATTTTCCTTAATTTTCATGGAACCAAAAAAAAAACAAAGATAAGCATAATTCTTGCTTAATGATACAAAACTTTTTTCACTTGACGGACTTTTGTACTGCAACAACATCTTTCAAATATTTTAAACCCTTCGGACGTACCAGCAAAATCATACCCCCACCGTGGTACGAGGGCGCGTTGACTGATGGAACCCCTTGCTAGAGTTTTAGATGTGCTGCAGTATTTTGAAAAGGCACTACTTTCAGTGGAAAACCTTTGATCTTCTCGACAAAATGAGGTATAATTTATGGGTGGAGGTGCTGCTGGAGGTCTGTGACGTCACCAAACATGTTCGCCATCTTAGCCCCCATCTTGGATTTTACCAAGAATTAGAAATCAGGTAAAAACGCCGAGAGTAGGAAATATCTTGTGCTTGACATGTAGTGTAATACCTAAATAAGTACTTCGCTTCATTTTATCTACAGGATTTACTTTTATTGTTCAAAGAAGTTGAAAAAACATGCATTTTCGCTCAAAGATGGCTTGACCACCTGCTTCTTATGACGTCATATATCGTAACCATAGAAACTGATCATCACTAAACTTGCTCAAAATGTGAGAGAGGGACAAACAAACGGCTAATGAAAAGGTTAGCTGCTAATATTTAATCGTCTAGGAAAAAATACAGAAAAACCTAAGAGGGCTGTGGAGGGAAAAACACAGAAAGACCTCAGGGGAAGATTGGCATCAACCCCCTCCCCCCTTTGTACGTCCGAGGGTTAAAAACTTGACTATTTGTAATGCATTACCACTGCTACTTATCATTAGCCAGCATCACTTCCTAATGGTTTCTTATCATTTAAAATGATTTAATGAACGCCGCTAGCTGATGGATTTTCTAAGTTGTGTTGCTTAACGTTTGAAACCTCCACACCGCTTTTTTAATAGATTTCTTTTAAAGCCTGTCATGGTCTCTCGAAAAACAGCTGCAATAAACGTAAACAACGCAGAAACAATAATTTACAACGGCTTATACTCCGACTATGAAAACAGTAAATGGATACAAATAAGCCGACATGTCACAGTAAGTTTCATGTTATGAAGAAGATCAAAGTCATAAAAGCGAATCTCATAAATAACTAAAGTTTATTACAAAGTGCGATAGAATTATTACAAATTGCGACAGCTAAGTTTATTATAAAGTGCGATGGACGCTTTTTGTTACAAAGTGCGACAAAGAGAGCTCGTGACACGCATATTGATTTTCTCTGGTTCGCATGATTTGCCCACTGATGCAAGAGCATTTTCTTTTTTGGCCTCTTTAGAAATGTAAAGTTCTTCACTGCGGCTGATTAAGGGTTTTTGGTTGTTTAATTTCTCCAAAGTGCCTCCTGGATTTGAATGATTCTAAGCCATTTTCTTCGTGTCCACGAATGTGACTTTTTCCTGCAAGGTTTTGTCACGCTGGGCCCAGCTCGTTAGCGTTTTTAGCAGGATGTTTACTGAATTCTCACGGATAGTGATTTACAGAGCCAAATCACGAAGAAGTGGATTGGAATGAGGGGATTTACCCATTCTTTTCAATCGAAATAATTGTTCATTGTCAGTTGGCGTGTTCAGTTTTTCTCTAATTTGGGAAAGCATCGCAGCCCAATTTCTAACCTTTGTTCCGTACGGAGAGCAAACTCTTGTGGAGAAAGACTCTCCTTCCTCGAGGACAACGAACAGTTCGTTTTTTAGTAGGTCGGCCAACTTTGGTAACGTTTCTCCTTTTCTGGTAGGCGCAACAAACACATTTTCGGAACTTATCCATCCACTCATACAATTGCCGAACTGTGTTTTGAAATTCTACAATTTATCGGAAGTGCTCGGCTCTTTCGGCTTACTCCCCATTCAAAGAGTAGGCACAGGCTTTGTTGGCGTCCTGCCACTTCCACTCATTTTTGATCCCCCACTTTATATACTACATTTCACACAGTAGCAATGGTAATGCTAGATTTTTTTTTTCTCTCTCCTCAGACGCCTTACGGGCGTGTGAGACCGCGCGCCTCGCGCTTAAGACTCTTACGTCACGCACCGATTTCTTTACTGATTTTGAGGAAAAAACCGACTGTTTTGCGGTCTACTGGAAAGAACATTTTTCTCACTTTCTCTCGGAGACGTATAATACGGTCAAACGAACGTGTCTTAAACATCAGTACTATGCAGTAACATCTCAGTACCATCTTGTTCAATCCCCGATATCAGGATCTTAATCTTGACAGCACAGTTGTAAAAAAAAATTTTGCGAAATCGTTAAGAAATACTGCACTACAGCATAACCCCGAATGAAAGATTGTGTAGTGTTCCTAGTCAGACTTAGAGTTTGCTCAACAGCAAAAAGAGACCTCTAATTTTGCCTTTTTTTACCAATATTAGATGTATTGTTTGTTTATCAGTTTTCTTAAAAATGCCGCGCACCTCACCTTGACCTCTAAACATCAACTTTGACATCTTACCTGAATGGCAACTTAGTTATATTCTTTATTTTATTTTATTTTATTTACTATTTATGAAAGACTCCCTTCTTAATTATTTGAACATACCATTTAGATTTTCAATAAATAATATCGTGAGCTGGAATCCCGGGTATTGTACAATATTATCAGAGTGGAATGTTATTAATGCGTAGTTTCCAGTTACCAAAACTGCCTTTCCACCAAGTTTGCGCCCACAATAGGTACCAGGCGTTCTGTTGTCATCATCTACAATCCTCAAATAATCATACCTACAAGGGAATAATATGTTTTTTTACTTTTCAAGCGCGGTTAGATTCTTAGAAATAACCCAAACCGCCAAGAGAACATAAAAGCCTTTTATGCTCTCCTGTCTGCGTACTGATGACGTCACAAAAACGTGACCCCCGCCGAGACTCAGACAAACATTGGCCATTTCTGCAAGACGTCGTTAGAGCACTCACACAGTTTGCGATCCGTTCTGCTCGCCCTTTTAGCGTTTTGAGGAGAGTCCCAGTTTCGAAATTCGAGGAAAATCCAGGAGAATATAATGTACAGCAAATCAAAACATAGCTCAAGTCTTTGGGAGCGGGAGGCTGGCAACGGCCTTTGATCTTGCCGCTTTTTTACTTTCCATGATCGCCCCAGTTAAGAAATCTGTCAATCTTTCATAGCGAGCTTGCGCGAAACGGGCTGGGAACAAGAACACGAAGTTATAGTCTTCGCAGCGATTCGACAGTGTGAAATGAATTCCCTTTTGGTCCCGTTGGCCATTGCTTTCTTTGCTGTAACCAATTTTTGTCGGCGGTAGTGTGGAGCTTACGTTTTCCTTTCTTCTGGTCTTGCGTTTGTCATTACATGCGGTTTACTACGCTAAGAACGAGACCAGTGAAAATTGATCGTCAACAGACATTGTTTCTCGATGCCGGACCTTTTGACTCGCTTCATCTCTCTAGATGCAGGCTTTCAAGCTCTGTTTCTGTTTAGGAGACCCACAAGACTAAAAGAAGGGCCAACCCTCCAATACGTATGTAGAAGAGTTTATATTTTCAAGTAAAAGGGTCAAAATTAATTCTTTGAGATATTAAAAAAAGGGCAGTGGCTGTGGTCGAGTAGAGGAGTTGTCAGAGTTGTTTACGGTTTTACTACACCTTTAAGACGACAAGAAATGATGATTGAGAGTCTTAATTCTTCATCCTTGATTGTGAACTTATCCTTATCCTGGCAGAGTTGCGTTGCATGACTGAGTGGCATGGTCAAATCTCGTAGTTCATGTATTTCTTTATATACTAGAAACTAAATAAATTTTGCCAAGAGATCATTCTCTCTTGATTTTGCGCATGTTGATATGCTTAAGTTCTTATCTTCCTGTGATTTAATTTAAACTTTACTGTAGTTTCCAACAAATGAAGCTTAGGCAAATGAAAGGGTAATTAGAGGGATTAAGATTCGCGTTTACGGCAAACGACAAACGTTAGATTTAAGTTGAGAATTTCTCAGAATAGAAAGTAAGCAGATAAAAACTGTCCTGAACAATTCTTACGAATAAAGCTGGCGTGAAACTAATTATTTTTGAGAAGAAGTAATAAACAGTACATGACAATTAACGGAAAAACTTGGTCACGTGGTGCAAATTCACGTTTGCCGTTTGACGTAAAAGGGAATCTTAATCTCTCTATTATTTTGTGTGTTTGGAATTCTCTTTTCATGACACCATTTATTACACTGCCTTCAGTTTGAGTCCTCATTCAAGTGTGTTTTGTTGCCAACAGAGAGGAAAAAATTATTATAAATTTCAAAAACTACACTACCCCTTGGAACAAGATTATCGTTAAAAAAAGATTAGCGAAGTTCAGAAAATAAATGTTCAAGTTTGCATGTTTTGACAAGGACCACATCTGGCTAAATATGCTTCAAAGGAAATTTATAAAATCAGGAAAATGGTGACATTTCTATTTTTGCCTTTCCTTTGGCCACTGCGATCAGTTTTTTCCATACAGTTGCATATAACTTTTTACACCTCTGGACATCAACGTGCCAGGTTGGTTTCCCAAACCTGTATAAAAATGTAGTTAATGAAATCAAACCCTCTCAACTTAAAAATTGCCTTGTAATAGTGGATATGAAAAACAGCATAGGATGCCTTGGAAAAAAAATGTAAAATGATTATTAAGATAATATTATTTGTAGTCAACATAACAGTTAGAAGCTTGTGTTGAGGCAGGTAAAAACATTTCTTAGAGAGCATAAACCTTTACTGACTTTGCTGTTACAACAAGTGGTAAAGGGTATTAAAATGTGAGATCTCCTCCCTGGGTTTGGTATGCGTAGTAGGACACATTGTTCATTTCCCTACCCTTTTTAAACCAAGAGACCTTATTTTATAATCTGATTCATTTCATTTAGCTTACGTAATTCAGTTAGCTTTTAAACTTAGAAACATGGAAAAAAACTTCGGGAAAAAAATGGTGGTACCAAAAATGTAACTATAGACTGCTCTTCATCAACCTTTACAGCCCAAGCAGACACCCTGTTCAAAAGTCTCAAGGGTGAAATGGTCACCACCCTAAATCAGCTGCACATACCCATCTAGGCCAAATAAGCCAAGGGTAGTGTCGTAGAAAGAACTGCTGAGGGGATTGGGTTCAAGGGACAATAACTTCTTTTGATGATTGATAAAAAAAAATCAATTTTACCCTGTTTATTTTAGTTGTAAATCAGATTCATAACTTACACCAACAACTGAAGTTGTTCATTTTTCAGGCTCCTTTTGATTCTCTTTATAAACTTTGCAAAACATTCAATTTTCTTTTTTCTGTTTCTTGTACTTCAGTCCTTTAAGGGTTTTCTCAACGCATTCCCCTCTCTGATTTACTCACTCTTATTAGCAGCTGGATTAGCCTCTTGTCCCCACACTAAACCATTATAATCATTTCAAGTATAATTCAGAGTTATAGGGAAATTTTTGTACAAACAATTTCAAAGAAATAATTGAAACCGAAGTCACTATCTAATATAAAACTACTAAATACGGTATTGCTGTTGGAAATATTTATTGATTATCACTCCAATGATGTTCCAGTGAAGATTTTGAAGGTTCAGTAAACCTCTCCCAGCCTTCTGATATTAAAAATAGCTTGTACTTACAGACCCAGTATATGTGAAGCAAAGTGATTGGAACATTTACCCTGGCTTTTATAGCCTGCGTAGCAGGCGTCGAAAGGGGTAGGGGGTAGGGGATAGGGAGGAAGGGAAAAAGGGGAGGGGGATTGGGGAGAGGGGGAGGGGACGCCTGCTCTAAGAACCCCCTTTTGTTCATATCTGCGGACGCTGGCGTCCGCAAATTCCTGATTGGCTGAGCCGTAATGAGTAACATATTGAAGTGCGCGTTTCACAAATCAACAAACAGTCTAGATGGCAGCGGTAGACGTGGATGTCGTAGAGAGTGCTTTGAGAGATGTGAATTTATCTAGTGGTAGAGAAAGTGTTTTAAAACCAGAGCAAGAATCAGCAGTAAGGGCTCTTTTAGCCGACAGAGATGTTCTGGCGGTTTTGCGGACCGGATACGGCAAGATCAGAGTTTAATTTACCAAATGTTTGTGTGCGCAAAGAACTACGAGCTAAATGGTAATGCGGCGATTCTCGTCATTTCGCCACTGAAAAGAATTATCGAAGACCAGTTGCAGGAGATGGAATTGTTGGGCTACCCAGCGAAAGATTTAGCCAATTTATCGAACGATGACATTCGCCGATGTAACTTAGCAATAAAAGAGGGTGCTTTTACCTCATGCCAAAATGCTGCTTATTCCAATAAAGTTGTTTTTATCTGCTGGGTAGATTATGCTCTGGAAGGTTCTGCATTTATACTGAGCAAATGTTATTTTAGCCGCATGTTTCACACTGAGAGGTCATGACATACATATCGATTGACTGTAGTTATTGTTTTCCGGTCGGCACGATTTGCCCTCTGATGCAAGCGCAATTTCTTTGACCTTTTTTGAAGCGTAAAGCTTTTTTTATTACGGCTCAATAAGGGTTCCAATTTTCTCCAAAGTGCCTTCTGGATCTGAATAACTAAGCGAATTTCTTTAGTCCGTGAGTGTAATGTTTTTCTGCAATGGCGAGTGTAGCGACACTTGATTGACAGTAAGCGTAATCGGATTCCTAGAAAATTGGTAGGCGTTATGCAAAAACATAGGCTCTTAGAGCAGGCGCTCCCTTCCCTCTTCCCTTTCTCCCTCCCCCCTCCCCCTCCCCTTTTTGCGCCTGCCACGCAGGCTAGGCTTTTACTAAATTGTATTCTGTATTTAAGCCCATAAATGTTTGTTGTGGCTCCCAGCGTACAAACAAACTTACAAACAGCGAAGTAGAAAATTGTTTTCATGAACATTCATATATGACTGTTGCAAGACTCAAACTAATGTAGTGCGCTCGTAGCGTGTGTTTAGGATAAGGGAGAGAGTCTTGATACCGCTATTAACGGAAAAATATAAGAGATGGAGCAGGGTGGTCGCTCGTAAAATTCACGGAGCTTGCCGAGATGCCGAATCACGAAAAGTGAGTCACCCATGAACTGTTTATACATCATACCTGCTGATGTCCAAAAATTCCATTAAAAAAAGTTCATGAAAACCTTTTCTTAATGTTTGGAAAAGGGAAAACTGAAAACTGTGCAAAAACTTATTGTCCATCCATGTCTGCATTCTCCGTCATATTTGTTTTGAAGGAAAATTGGTACTCAGTCTCACGCGGTCAAATTTCTTTACTGGGGGCAATCATGTAAACTCGGTTCCAGACCTCGCTGCCAGACCCCACCACCACCCCCCCCCCCCCTTACCCCCCTTGGCTCAAGTGTACAGGATTGAAGCAGAGCGGAAAATGCAAGAACTCTCAAACACCCTGTGTCGATACCTTATTTGCAACCGAGTCGGTAAATGTTTTCAAGATTAGCTGATATTTACCTCCAAGTTTTAAGAATTCTCATCGAATTCTTTAAAGAAAATTTGATAATTGTTTAGAAAGTTCGATTTCTGTGCTGAAGTAGAAAAAGTCGTAGCCATACCAGATATTCGATAAGTTCAGATTTTCGTGAAAGACAGAGAGACGCAATTTAGACTGCTGGGCTGTTCCGTGCTGTAGTATTTTGAAAACCGTCCCCACGATTCGAGATTCGAATATCATCAAGCTCGGAGAATTTGTGCACTACAGGACCAAACCCTTTTTATAATTGCTTAGCATTTGCGAACAAACATCAAGTGCTTCAGGGAGGTTTCGATGATAAGTTTTCTGATAACTGACTCAGTACGTCACGCCAGTGAAGAGTTGAAAACATTGAGATTTCACAAAATGCCCAAGGTCGACAATTGAGTCAAACCAAGGGCAATGTTTGAAATCACGTAAGATTTCTAAAGAAACATTTTACGTTTTTAGAAGAATTGAATCAGAGAATTCGTGAAAATGGAATAAATTTAAGACTGCCATGTATCTACCTCTTTCAAGTTTCCCCGTTTCACTGCCACAAAACACAGCGTACTTCGCTTTCTTTCTGGATTTCTCGCATTTATTTAGTGACTCAGACCACTTTTTCGGATTCTTGGGTCCCTCTTACATTCTTCCCAGCTGCAACGCTTGTTGTTTACCATATTCGGATAAAAATGCGTGAAAAAATCAATGTTTTGACTCAACACTCGGTAAAAGCGAATACAAAGCCCTTGAGTGAGAGGCAAAGTTTGTCTGAGTCATGCGGGGGGTCTCATCAGACATAGACTATTTTTACAATCTGTGCGGAACGCTATTGCGAGTCGTGCATGCTTTATGGTGGATTTAAGGTCTCGGTAAAGGAAAACGAGGTGCCCACAGCAAACAATTCTACTCGCGCGAGTATTTTCGCTACAAAGGCAAGTTATATATCAAATTAAAGCTAAAAGACTAAATTACCTTATAAAAGACTTTATTTCATCGAATTTCAAAAGGCGCTTAAGTTTTTTGCTCTCGAACTCAGAGGTATCGAGTTTACTGCTGAAGCTCCAGCCCTTTCGCGTTGTTAAATATTCACTTCCTTTTTATTGCGTCTGATTGATAGATAAAAGACCTAAAAAAGGGTGTGAGGAAATTTGCATTTGTCTCGTATTAGCGGAATTATTGCATTTCAAACTAAAACGTCGAATCTCGAGCGCGATTTACGCAAAGAAACTGACATAAAATGAGTTACAAAGGGAAATCGGAAAATTCCTCACACCTTTTTTGAGTCTATATCATTATCCATCATATCTGAAAGTTTCAAAGCGATAGCTTAAAACCTGTCCCGACTGGAGGTCGGAGAAGTTTGCTTTTTGCGTCTAAAATAGAGTGAGAGAAAATCAGCTCTAAAGATTTAGCGCGAGGTCCACGCTTGGCTGGTTAGCTCAGAAAAGGCTCACTTTAGAAGGGTTAAAAAGCACTTTCTGATTTTCTTTTTCTGCCAAAATAAAATTTAGGACCCACTCATGCCAAAAATCCAAAAAAACCAAAATCGAGCAATGTACTAAAATTTTCATTTACCGAGACCTTAAGGAAGCTCCAAACGTTTCTGTGGAATATCAAGCCGCCGATCAAATTCTTTCAATTTATGTTGCACTTGAGTCACTCCCGAGCAGTCGAATGGCCGCCGTCTAACAAATACCAATTAACGTTCAACAAGGGGCTTTTATGTTCTCTTGCTTTCGACCTACTTACAGATGACAAAGGCCTGTAAAAAGGGATTTCGCTCATCTCAACTGACGTAAAAGCCTTAAGGCGTAAAATCTTAATTTGGATTTTAAAAAAGCTATGGCATTTTCCAGATCGAAAACCATATCATTGGTTAGATCTGTTTAGCCAATGAGAAGTCTCTACATCTTTTGACCCTATCTACGAGTATAACACCAGCAATGAAAGTTCAATTTTGTAAATAATAGTTTACATTTTGCTTAGGCTGCGGAACGGCCGGCTCCCATCGCTCTCCGCCGCTACGAACTTTTTGAGAGAAAGCCGTCTGCTCCGAAACAACAGAAATACCATACTGATGAAGTAAAAGCTGTCACGTGGTCAATGACTAATAAATGCACTGTTTAGGCAGTATTTTAGGAGAAGAAAGAATCGAAGAAATCTTAGAAACTATATTTTTTTCGGAAGTAATCTTGCACAAAATATCATGGTTTCTATATATGTTACTCTACTTCAATTTTTTATCCGAGAGCGAATGACACATTTGGGACCCCATTTGGGGGCTGGTTTGGCTCCACTTGATTCATCATTGCGGGAAGGGGATCGTTAAAATCTTGCCATGGCGTTAAATTGTGCTTAATGTTGGCAGAAAACGCGGCTGTGTTATGTCAAAGGAATTATGATGGCTTTTTGCGTTATTTCTTTTATCTAATAATTACTATTTCTTTCCAAATGAACATCCAAAGTTTTGTTGATTTTCAGCCTTGAATTAAGCCGCGCAACGCGAGCGTTGGATAGGGTGAACCAAAATTTTCTCAAAAATTCGAGAGTTTTAAAAATACAGTCTAGCGAATTGGGGCCGTTAAGTACAGGTACATGAAAGTCTTTCAACGCACAAGAAATGAGCGAAATCTATTTTTCACGCCATATCGACCAGACCGCTAATTTACTGGCAGATACTCTTTAATTCTTTTAAGAATAAAGAGTATCTTAAAAGAATTAAAGAGTATCAGTGTGTTTTACATTCTTCTTCGTGTTAAAGCTAGGTCTATCTTTATTTTAAAATTAGAGGGCTATTCTCATTGGTCGGTGTTTTTCCCGGGGGAATATACTTACCTGCCAGCCTGTGTTTTTAGAAGCCTGATTTTGTCTTATTTCTAGGCCTAATATCACAGATCCGCAAACTTGCAGCGTACAAGCCGAATGTCGGAATTCGTAAGTATGTTTTGACCAGCAAAAATGTTACGTTTTAGAGTAAAAAGTATCACTTGAAGTTAAGTTCCTAGTCTACTCTTACCAAAGCTGAGTCAGGTTTTCAATTGTTTGAATTGTCATCAGTCACGTTAACTTTATTGTAAACGGCAAAAGTGAATCTGTACCACGCGACCAAGTTTTCCCTTTTCTTGATGTTTATTGTTCATTACTTCTACAAAAAAGTGAATTGTTTCACGCCAGTTTTATCCATAAGAATTGGTTTGAGCTGTTTTTATACCTGCTATTTTTTTTAATTTTGAGATCAACTCAACTTGAATCTGACGTTTGCCGTTTGCCGTAAACGTGACTCTAAAGCTGTCTATTGTTAAATTACTTACCCGCATCGAGTATGTGGTTCCAGGGAAAAAGTTGAAAAACTGATCTTCAGCGCCTTTCCGGGTGGAATGGAAACGTTGTACACACAGTGCATGTTATTGGGGTATGGTGTTGGAAATCCAGGACTTGTCAAGGTGTTGTTTACCACAGAACCACATCCTATAAAATCAGATTGTAATTTTATACGTAGACTTGTGTTCTCTTAATCAATAGAGAACTTAAGGGTCTCGCCCTCAATGTTCTTTTTTTCTATGTTTTTTGCTTTTTCGAACGTTTTAGATGACATAACAAACTAAACGAATTTTCTAAATCCCACTATTTTCCCACTGGTTTAAAAATGCAATGTGGCAAACTTACAGGATATTACCTGAAATCAAATCTGACCTTTGTGATTGACTTTTTGAACACGATAGGTGGATCACGAAAATTGCCAAAAAAACCTTAAAGAAGAAAAGTTGCCAGATGTTTGGTAGTTAAACACTGGTTTCTGTTTTCTCCATGTCAGCTGATCGGGTGGACAGACAGGAGAAAAATAGGGGCGTATAGTATATTCTGCGCCATAAAAATACGTGCTAGCCCCCATAAGAGAGCACAAAAAATGCAGACTCAACAGCCGCTTAAGGAGATGTCCGAACACAACTTTTTTCATAGAAGATAAGTTATTACAAGTGTGTCGTTCCATGTTTTGCTAAAGTTCTCCGTATATTCCTATTAGCATAGTACACACGGCCAAAATAGAGATCAGACAATGTTTGAAGGACCATGAAGTGGTCGCTTACAAGAAGTCAAAACCAACGGAAATCATTAAACCGTCAGAACCAAATAGTATAGTCGTAGTCGCCTACAGGAGGTGGTCGTTTACTAGAGGTTCCAACTGTAGGGCTTTCACTAGGAACGTTTTGGTGTTTTGGTTAGATGGTCGCTTACGAAAGGTAGTCACTCACATAGGTTGGACTGAACAATATACTCACTTGAATCAGCACTCTGAGCTGAACTGTAACACAGCATCAGCGATAGCACAAATACAAACTTCATCCTCCTGTTTAAGTAAAACGTGATGTTAAGGTGTTGTTCAGAAGGGCGCGGGGGAGGAGGGTAAGCAGAATCAATGAGTTTCCCTGTTGCAATTGTTGGATAAAATAATTGTTAACTATTCTTTCCCTTTTTTAATAACTTCGAGGAAGACAATCAGGGGCACCCAACGACGGTTTCCTTCAAAATACGTTGAAAACACTTTTCAGGCTATCCAGAGTACTTTTAGATCTCTAGAATGCTTTCTAAGTGGCGCTACAAAATTTTTATCTGTTCGGTCATCCTAGGGGAACTTAAGTCTTTTCGAAATTACCAGGGCTTTAGTATTTTTTTCCGAAAATTGTAGGTGTAATTTAACGTTTTACGAAAGTAAGAATTTTTCTGATTCCTCTCTCCATGACATTTTAGAATCCGAAAATTTTAGGTTTCGTTTTTCTAAGAAAAATAGTGTAACTTGGGTAGTAAAATATTAAAAATTAAACTTCTCAAAATCGTAGAGAATTTATTAGAAAAGCTTGGAAAATTGTACATGAACGGAACGTTCATCTAGAAATTTTTAGCCGTCCTCAAGCAAAAGAAAATTGTAGGCAATATTTGCTTCTCCGAACAGATATTTTACATAAAACAGTCGTTGGGTGCCCCTGAACAATACTCTGCGATATAAATAAGATAACATTACCGCTTCCAACAATAGGAGGAAAATCTGGTTATATTATAACTTTAATCAGAATCTGTAAGCCCAAATGGAGAGAAAACACAAGTGACAAAGTCAAGGTTCGCTTTGTTACGTGCTACTTTCACTTGGTTGGCGGGGAACTAGCGCGCGACTGGTTTATTTCAATTTAACAAAGCGCAGTGGCAAAAGTGCCGAGCGGTGAGCACAGACGCATTGCAATTGCTTGTCGAAACTTATATGCAAATATTCGGCATAGCACACATTCCGCCTGGATGAACCATTCCATTTGCTATTCTCTTTCCCCCGCTTTTACAGAAACGAACGAAAATTTCTGAACCATTTATTTTGTGTGGATAACCAGTGCCAGGCTTCCCGCTAAGAAAAAAATGGAAAATCTTGTTGGCATTTTATGGTTGGTACAACTCAGTCCCGTTACTTTTTCTCGTACCAAAAAAAGCTACCATTTGAGTTTGACGGAAAATTTTCGCCTAGATCTCCGTATTTCCGTATGCGTTCTAGCCAACCGCTGTTTTCCCTTTGACTAATTGGGTAAAAATAATGTTCGAACAATTTTTAAATTTTCGCATTTTATATACATCACTGTTCATTCCCCCAAGTCACGACCATTTAAAGTCTGAAAGGCGGACGGCAAATATTTATGAATTTAGATAATTTTCTTTTCAAATGATCCCCTGGCTACATTTAATGACATCTCTAATTGGCGCAAAGATCACGGCATATGCCATCATATGGTTGCACTATAAACAAAAAGGAATTGCTTTGGTCCATGATTATTAATTTTAAAGAAAACAAGAAAGGGGCGATGAATAAAATTACAACCTTTTTAATTTAGTAATGGTATCCCTGGCAACGTGCATTCATAAAATGACATACAAAAAGTGGCAAAAAGACATGCAAATTATGAAACAACAGTCAGTCCGCTAGAAATAAACATCAGCATCTGTTTCGGGTCACATGTATTGTCGCGTGTTCACTTCCGTTTTAATTGTGCTGGTTTTCGCTGCGTTTTCACCCGTTCTTTTCGAGCATCTTGGTCTTCAGCTTTTCCTTTTTGATAATACTTGATGTGGTGCAATTTTACCCCTGGTTTGATTTCTTTTTTTGTCCTTTTATTTGCAATTCATTGTCTTCTAATTCTGAGCAAGATTCTAAGAGCTGATAGGCTAACAGAAATGTATTAATGGCGTGTAACGCACCATTCTCAGTCTTTTTCACTTTTCTCTTCAGCAATGTTGTATAAAAAATAGTCAGAGTTTTTTTAACTTTACATTAATTTACAATGTGATTAAACTTTCATTTGAAATCTTAATATTCAGTTTTGCTTATGTTGCTATTTGATAATAAAATATATTTCTAAACTTTTTGCAGCTTGGACCATTATTGTTCAAATAGATATCGTCGCTTTTGCAATGCAGAGCACTCAGCTTAGTTTCAATATTCAAAGGTTTAGAGACTTCTTGTTCTTGCTCTCTTCTCGGGATGGAAAAAGACTAGACACGAGAGATCGGCGGAAATAAAGCCGAATGAATGAACCCACAAGATGAGTGTACAAAGACGAAAATCTTATGTTATACTGCACCTAGATCGGTACTGTATTTGAACTTCTCTTTTTCTTTACGGCCAGCCTGTCGGTGTTTTTGCCGGTAAGGCACTGACTCGGTTAAAGGCGGATTTCCACTGTCCTATAATTTTTACGTGCGTACGCACTTAAATTTTACGCGCGTAAATAAAATAGAGACAATGTATAAAGGTCACGCGTAAACGTAAAAGTTGAACCTCGCTCAACTTTCACGTTTTCCGCGAAGCCTTTCATACATTACCTCTATCTCATTTACGCGCGTAAATTTTACGAGCGTTCGCACGGAAAAATTACGCGACAGTCTCAACCCTTAACTCAGTACAACATTCAAAAACAGAGAATAAATTAAACTGAAACCGAGGATATAGAGTTGAACAACTACATGTGCATATTTCAATTTTTCGGAGACGTCCGCGAGCAAGATTCTTCTGTATATGTGCTCGTGTAGGATATTTACCCGGGCTGGCGCGCAGTACTGAAGAACACGGCATTGACACTACAATCAGGTTGAGGTCTACTGTTTATAAGTAACATAACTCGATATAACTTACATTTCCCCCCCTTTTTTTTTTGTATTTCTTTTTATATAAAGGCTATATGCCTATTGTACTTTGCTTTTAAAGTTTAGCATAAACCATTGGCCTTAAACTGTACTACAATCATGAGCTCTGATCAACTTTTACCGGCAGCAACTCTTCCTTTCTTCTCAGTCTTATAATTAATGTAAGACGGACATTCATGAAATTAAAAAAAGAAAAAAAGCAAACAAACAAACAAGCAAAGAAAAAGTAAAGTAAGTTAAGGATATTCCTTTCGTTTCATGGAAAATAGTTTTTTAAGTCTCAAATACCTGAAAGATCATACAGCATAAGGAATGTTGATCCTGAGTTTTAGCCGTAGAGAAAGCTTGAAGCTGAAGCAAAAATTATGTTTTATCAACAGAAACTTTAAAAAGTTTCCTGCTGCTGTTAATAACAACTTTGAAAGCTAAAAGCGTTTGACTGAAACAAGTATTAAGTAAAGCGTCAAGTAAATTTGAAAATTGTAGGAAATTCACCATATTGAAATGGATCGATAATATCTCAGCAGGTTTTTACAGCGGTATAGACTGAAGCTATTAATTATTGTTGTATCCCTTTTGAAAGGGCAAAAATATAAAATAACGTTTTGAAAAAGAAGAAAATACCATTTTACCCTCGGTAGAAAAGCGTGAAATTTTACCAAAAGATTTAATGCAGATAAATTTCGCATAATTTATGCATGCATTTTAATAAAAATAAAAATTTATGTATATTTTTGCAACAATATTGTGTTTTTGAAGGAAAAAACTAATAAAAGCAGTTTCCCCTGACATCGCAGAGACCGACAATATGCCTCAAATAATGAACGATGCATAATTTACTATAAATTTATTTTTATAACACCACCAGCTTCGATTCAGATTAATTTAAAAACTTTATCGTCAATTTGTGGTTCAACTCCCAATATTTACTTGATTCTAACGCACTGATGGGCTCCTGGTGAGACGCAAGAATTGATGACGACCAGGATGTATTCAAGCTTATTCAGGTGCGGCGGGCGGCGTGAGAGTAAGTTATCAACTTTTTACACTGAACCTATGTTCATAAAAAATGACACCTCTTCCGGTACTACAAGGTGCTGAGCTAAGGCCAGTTGCGTATACATAACAAATGCATAGTTAAAGTCTCAAATTATGCAGTTGCGAAAAAAAGCCTGAAAAAAAATAGGGGGCTTGCCGGGATTAACCCTGACTGCGATACCGATACAGGGCTCTAACAATTTGCGACGGCAAGCCACGTAACTGGGAGCTGATCATTGAATTTGTTCGTATTATACCCGGGAAAGATGAAGATGAAATGACAAATACACGAATGCGGAAATAAATGCAAGATTGTTCCTGTTAAAGACGCAACGTATGCTCGCGAAAAGCGCTGCACCAGTATCGTAGAGCTCATGGTTTGAATTGCAGCAAGCCTGAGCTTTTTCAGGCTTGCTGGGATTTATTGCTTCAATCCGCAATTACAATATATGAACTCCACATATTCAACATTTCGTAACTACTACCGTTAGACGTTAGACTAAAGGGTTTGACATAGCTGTAGGACAAACGTTGGCATTTCCGAGTTCCAAAAACTGTCAATTTTACAACGAGGCTACATGCATCGTGGTGGTGTTGGTGTTAACTATATTTAACCTGGTTTAGAACAAAGATTCAAACTTAATCGCCCTGCAGTTGAACCTCTACCCAAAGGCCACCTTGGGGACAGAAGAAAGTGGCCGTTGGGGAGACGTGGCCGTTATGGGAAGGTAGAGGTATAATATGACATATGTTTTTTGTCCTAAGTTCATGTTTACTGTTGCCTAATGGTAATCCAATCATAAACAATCTAATTTGAATTAAATAACGTCTTGAAACAAATTGTTGACAAGAAAAAACCACCCGAGGTTCGCAACGTAGACAATTTATGGTTACTGCTAAATATAAATTGAACACAATGAAGATTAGTGTCATTAGTATATCTTTAGATGGATACGGCAAACGTAATGTTTGTCCATTTTCATTTCCCTCGAAACGCGTTTCCTCGCGGAAGGTGACTTTCTCGCGCGTTAATTCCTTACGGCAAAAATAATAGGAAAGACTTGCCGCGATTAATCATCGACGCGCCGTGTACGGATCGATTTTCGTGGCCATTCCATAACCGTTGTCGAGAGGTTATTTTGGCAGTTGGGGACGCGTTTTAGTGGCGGTTGTAAAGAGGTGGCCGTCAGCGGAAGTTCTAATGTTGTATAAACCAACAT